ACAATTTAAAAAGACTGTTATTACAATTTAAAAAGACTGTTATTACAATTTAAAAAGATATTACAATTTAAAAAGACTTATTACAATTTAAAAAGATATTACAATTTAAAAAGACTGTTATTACAATTTAAAAGAAGTGTTATAACAATTTAAAAGGAGAGTGTTTTTTTACATTTTTTTTAACCATTCAGCCGATCTCCAGGTCTGACATGAGCACATTTAGCTTAGCTTAGCATAAATCATTGAATTGAATTAAACTGTTTGCTACTCGCTCAAAAAATGTTTTGGTAATTTTCCTATTTAAAGCTTGACTCTTCTGTAGTTACATTCAGCCCCTCAGTTAGTCAGCCCCTTTCTCAAATCAGTGTTCTTATAGATGATAGTTTTTACCATTTTTTTAAACATTCAGCCGATTTCCAGGTTCGTCATGACCACTTTTATCAAAGCTTATCAATCATTGAATCGATTAAGACTGTTAGCTACTCGCTCAAATAGGGTTTTGGTAATTTTCCGATTTAAAGCTTGACTCTTCTGAAGTTACTTTGTGTAACTACAGAAATGTTGCTATTTTCAAGGCCAACATGTCTAGGAACTATTTCATGATTTATGCTAAGCTAAAAGAGCTCCCGCTAGACATGGAGATTAGCTGAAGGGATTCAAATAAACTGTTTAACACTATGGAAAGTTGTATAAAAATATGGAGTGTTCCTTTAAACAGCCCTGTTGGATAAAACAATCCATTCAGCCAATCTCCAGGTTTGACATGAGCACTTTTATCTTAGCTTAGCATCAATCATTGAATCGAATTAGACTGTTAGCAAATCACTCGGAAAGCGTATGGTAAATATTCCTATTTAAAGCTTGACTCTTTTTTAGTTACTTCGTAAACTGAAGGAAAATGATGTCATTTTCAAGGCCAATATGTCTAGGAACTATTCAGTGATTTATGCTAAGCTAAAAGAGCTCCCGCTAGACAGGACTATTGGTTGAACAGTTTCAAATAAACTGTTTAACACTAGGGAAGTTGTATAAAAATTAAAGTGTTCCTTTAAACAGCCCTGCAGTCAGTCTCTTTCCCTGAGCAGTGTTCCTCTAGATGCTCTGGCTTCAGCTCGTATTGATAAAAGTCTGTTTTGTTCATAAACTTTGTTCCTAGTGTGTCTGTGTTCCTGAGAGCCTTATTAAAAAAGTGCTCGACTGAAGGCAGTTGAAGGACACGTTTGATGATGATCAAGACATTCTGAGTAAACGTCATTAGCTTTGCCCTTGAAATTTGAGCAAATTAACATCCTGTTTGGTGTGAATAGTTTGATAAGCTTTTATATTCTGTCCGTTCCCAACCCAGTGCTTTTAATGAAACACATTAACAGGCAAACAAGACACTTGAAGTAATCGTCTGTAATTACAGAATAATACAATACACATGATTGCAAGACTGCTCACATTGTATGAAATGTTACATGAGTACACCTCAAGAGAACAGAAGACAAATTACATTCAGAACATTTGCAGTGGTTGAGTTTAGATGCAGCATAAACACAATACACCCATTCTGATTTACTTTTACATTAAGAACAACTTTAAATACCAGATATAAAAAAACGACAAGCGAATATGTGTTTGCAACTAACAAACCAACATTTGAAACTGTCCTGCAGTGAGTGTATTTATAGTGAAATGCACAAATTATCACAAACAACACGACAAAAAGCAACAGTAATTGGCACATAATCATTAAAAAGAAATGATATTCAAGAAGAACAAAACGTTGTGTTGAAGTTGTAAGTAACCTGATGAAAAGGATAGTGATTGGCATTTGTTTACATGCTGTGAAGTGCTATGATTTGCAATATTAATACTGATTTCTTCTCAATCCAGAGTGAGATATAATGCACACAAAAGATGTCTGCAGTGTAAAGCGATATTATGCACACCCCTATAAAATATTCAAATGCAATTACAGCTGAGAATATAATATTTACATAATTAATACAAGCACATTCCCCAGTTTGCAGCATCGCATGTCAACAGTTGTTTGTAAGGTTTTTATATGGACAAAAGCACACATTTGTTCACCTCAAAAAATATCTGATTTCTGAACCATGTTGATTGGTTCAATAACCAGAAGCAGACCAAAAAATAAAATCACAGTAAGTATGTTTCTGTTTGTAGCGTTAAGTGGATAGATAGGAATTTAGCCCCATTTACAATATACTTGGTGTTAAAATTAATTTGTCAATCTGAACACAAAGGGAAGATGCTAAATACAAGAGGGAGCCGAGTTTAAGCTTGTCCACCTTTAATCGTTTCCTGATGTTTAGTGGAAAATATATTCAGCCAGATTGGTTTTTGTAAATGCATTCAAATAGGCACAAAAAAAAAAAAAAAAAAAAAAACATTTTGTGTAAATCATGCCAGCTTGTTTCACAATAATATATCAAAGGGGCAGAAAAAGACCACACAGACCAGGTCATAAATCCTGCCTTTAAATTAATCAAGAAAGTGGACAAAAGAAACATTGAAAGACCCAGTGTACACAGCAATGTATCTACATCTACTTGTGACGTGATTGATTAGAAAGCTTCTTAAAGTGATAGTTCACCCAAAAATGAATGTATCTGACTATTTACTCACAGCTACTGTAAGTGGTTATAAACTTTTATGAGGTTTTTTTTTATATGGTTGAACAGAAAAAAAAAATGTTAATTTGAAATATGTTAAAAAGAGGTAACCATTGAGTTTCTTAGTAGAAAAAACAAATACTATCCGCTAGTTTGTGTGACATTATGCGAAGGGGCTTCCGGGTCCAAACGCTCTATCATATATATATATATATATGACTATCTGATAATGTTTTTTTCTTTTGGAAAAAGTCTTATTTGTTTTATTTTGGCAAGAATAAAAGCGGATTAAAATAATAATAATTATAATAATAATAAACAGTTTGAGGTTGAAATTATTAGCCCCTTTTAGCTATTTTTTCTGATTCTACAGAACAAACTATAGTTATACAATAACTTGCCTAGTTACCCTAACCTGCCTATACCTAATTAACCTAGTTAAGCCTTTAAATGTTACTTTAAGCTGTTTAGAAGTGTCTTGAAAAATATCTAGTCAAATATTATTTACTGTCATTATGGCAAAGATAAATAAATCAGTTATTAGAAATGAGTTATTAAACTATTATGTTTAGAAATGTGTTGAAAAAATATCTCCTTTCAACAGAAATTGGGGAAAAATAAACAGGGGGGCCAATAATGCTGCAATAATTTATATATTTATATATATATATATATATATATATATATATATATATATATCCATACTTAATATCACATGGCCAGAAAGTGATTATTGTTAATAGTTATTTATAAGATAGAAATGCAGCAAGTTTAGAGACTGGTATTTTTATTGTATGTAAAATTCACTTTAATGTGTGATGTAATGTGATGGAAGTCAGTGGTTAGCATTTGTATATGTGTTAGTATTTGTATATATGTTAGCATTTCCAACATTTTTTTTTAATAGCTTATTTTGGGTTCAACGGAAACAAATATGTGACAACTTGTGAAGAGAGAGTAAAAGAAAGAGTTTTCCATTTTGGGTCAACTACCCCTATAACACAGGTTGTAAAAAGGGCCTTAAATGTTGTCTAACTTCGAGTATGAATTAGATATGGATTACTTTTTTCATCATACATTTTTCTTTTGTCCCTCTGAAATACTTAAAAGCATAGGTGTTCAGAACAACATGATGGTGAAATAATAATGACAGATTGATTTTTGGGGTTAACTATTCATTTTAAGCATTTCAAACAGTTTCTGATTGTCAGAGTAGTCTAAAACTTGACTTTAGGTAATATCGTAACATTAAAAGAAATAAACAACAGCCACATTATTTAAATCATATGGAATGTAAGTGAGTTTCTCTAGACTGGGTAAAGGTTAGAGTTAAAAACATCTTTAGAAATGAAAGAGTTGAATATGTGGAACCTTTTCTTTCAATTAGCAACACAGCTTGCTTCTGAATCCCTGATTTTGACACAAGACGATGATATTTCAAACACTAAAGGTGTGTTATAGGAAAAGCTGCAGAGTAACGTAGTTTAGGAAGTGGATTGTTGTACCTTATTTCATGAAAATGTAAATTAAATATAAAATACATGGCTGAACATTACAAATATGTTAAGAAATACAAAAGTCAAAAAGCACTGAAAGTGTGACATGTACAGAATAAATTGAATTGTGAAAATATGTATATAAATTAATTACATTGAGAAGTATATCTTAAAGTTATTAGCATGTGTTTGCACTAAATGGCAAAGTGTTACATAAATTACGTTCCAATCTCCAGGGCTATTTTTAGGAGACTCAAAAGTGGGAGTTTTTGAATTACTATGAACATATTTGTTATTTCTCTTTTGAAAATTAAGCTTGTACTTTAATTCCAACCAATAAATGTTGATAAGCGATCAAAAGTGATCATAATAAAATACAAATCCTTTAACAAAGTTTTTCCTGAATTTACTTTTCATCTTGATTAACAAAGATAATAGTACTATAATACTATACTAAAATCCCAATGAAATGGATATCAAATCATTATTATAAAAGAAAAAGCATTGGCTTTAGGGCACATTTCAGTTTTTATGTTTTAATATAGAGATTTTTGTGGTTTTTAGTAAAATATATATATATATTTGGATTATAATAATCCGATTTTTGTTATCATAGGGACAATTATGTAAGACAAAGAAGTGCATTACATATAAGAGCCAAATATTTACACTAATTCCACTGCAAACAGCAGTTGAGCAAACTAAAATACTGCAAAATACAAAGACAAGGCCAATAATGTGTTTGTACATTTAACATTAAACAAAGGTAGCAAAATGTTTTGTTTTTTCAGTGTAAAGTTTACGAGAAATGCCTTTACTCCATCCCTCGGAGAGCATGAGCAATGCACTATGGATAAAAAGGTCCACGTCAGTCATGTGGCAGTTTTTTTTTTTTTTTTTTCTTGTGTATATTCTGCATCACATTGCCATGTTGAGTGGCATCAGGCCAAGGGATTCTCTGGTTTTATTATGGCGTTGTCAAAGTCATGGTAGTTTTTGCCATTCAAGTGTTCTGTGTGTCCGTCAATGCTGTAACAGCCCTGAACCTCAGTTATGGAGGATGCAGTGTACGAAGCAGATCTCAGAGCATCAGATTGCGTGATGGTGCTTCCAAACTGAATACGGTACTGATTCCAGTGCCTTCTCAAAACCGCCTGGACCTGAGGAAGGCAGGATTTCAGTCAGCATAAATAATGCATTAGCCTTCAACAAATGTTAACCAGGTTAGTGATTTCAAATGTAGTTATAATGGGTCAGACATACTAACAGCTTGTGCACAAACAATCTTTTAACATTACTGTCAGGATTTACTAAAGACACATTGTGAAAAATTTATGATGAAAATGCATGTGAAGTTATTGCATTTGTTTTCCTATCACAGAGGCACATTTTCTGGGGGGAGAGAATGTAAAGGTGTCATAGAATAAATATCTGGATATGGCTGAATAATACGTTTAAACACCATTGTTTCCTCTACGTCATGTCAATTATGTTAGTGTAAATACATTCATTTATTCATTTTCCTTCAGCTTAGTCCCTTATTCATTAAGGGTCACCGCAGCGGAATGAACCGCCAACTATTTCAGCATATGTTTTACGCAGCAGATGCCCTTCCAGCCACAACCCAGTACTGGGAAACACCCATACACTCTCACTTTCACACACATTTCTACACTATGGCCAATTTAGTTCATCCAATTCACCTAAAGTGCATGTTTTTGCATTGTGGGAGAACATGCAAACTCCACAGAAATGCCAACTGGCACAGCTGGGACTTGAACCAGCAATCTTCTTGCTGTGAGGCTACAGTGTCAACCGCTGAGCCACCATTATATAAGTTAAATATATATTGATTAAATATCAAATTAAATATAAGAAAGTAAATTAAATATATATAGAATATATATTAATATAAAATGCAGGGCTGAACATTTATGCCAAGAAACACAAAGTCAAAAGCACTGAAAATGTAAAAAAATAATAATAAAAATAGTTATTAAAAAAATTTATTGTGAAATATATATATATATATATATATATATATATATATATATATATATATATATATATATATATTTAATTGCGCTGAGTATATTTTAAAGTCAAATTGCTTATAACTTTAAAATATACTTCTCAGTGTAATTAATTTATATACTTCACTGAAATCATTGAATTACTATATTGTGAGTTATAACCTTTTTTAATGTATGAAATTATATAATGTACTACTTGAACAACAAATAATAACTTGACTACTAGTTGATCATTTGGTATCAGAAGTGGCTTATATGAAAGGCAAAGGCCTCTAGATTATGCTTATTTCACCAAAATAAAATATGATCTTGCCTTGATTTTTAAACATTTAATCAGGAAAGTAAGGTATGACTTTGCTTAGACAAAAGTCTTGTCACTTAATAGAAAGTATGTACAGTATAGAATATAATTAATATTGATAATATTAACTGATAATAAATTAATATTGTGCATGACTCCCATGAGCTTGGAGAACTGCATCTCTGCAATGACTCAAATAACTTATTAATAAAGTCATCTGGAATGGCAAAGAAAGCATTCTTGCAGGACTCCCAGAGTTGATCAGAATTTTTTGGATTTATCTTAAATGCCTCCTCCTTCATCTTACCCTAGACATGCTTAATAATAATCATAACTGGTGACTGAGCTGGCCAATCCATGGAGCTCCTTGACCTTCTTTGATTTCAGGAACTTTGATGTGGAGGCTGAAGTATGAGAAGGAATCTTTTCTTGCTGAAGATTTTGCCCTCTCCTGTGGTTTGTGATGTAATGGGCAACACAAATGACTTGAATACCTCAGGCTGTTGATGTTGCCATCCACTCTGCAGATTTCTTGCACGCCCCCATACTGAATGTAACCCTAAACCATGATTTTCCTTCACCAAACTTGACTGATTTTTGTGAGAATCTTGAGTCCATGCGGATTCCAATAGCAGATGATTGGGATGCAGTTCAACAGATGATTCATCTGTAAAATCCCCTTTTCCAAATGATCAACTAGAAATCAAGTTATTATTTATCGCTCTTACAACTGGGATCTACGACCAGACTTTGTCTTGTAGTGTATTCCACTACTGTGATATTGCTTAAATAACCATGTGGTAATGCAATCAAAGCATAAAATTAATGGCAAACTATTAGTCTGTCATCCTTTCTAAAATAATTAATTTGGGTTTTTTTATGCATTTTAAAAGCAATTCGGCAAACTATTAGACCAAATTTTCTAGTGTATTTTTCTAGTGTATTTCACAATAAAGTACAAAAACTGCAATAATAAACATAGTTCTGAAGTACAAATACTAAAGCAGAATGTTATATATATATATATACATACATACATACATACAGTATATGGATACTACTATAAGTTATTGTTAAAATAATTGATTTATTTTTGTTTTTACAATGTACCCATAATGCCACCCTTTCATTTAAGTACAGTATACTGGCTGTACAAACTGTGATATTATCCGTAAAAGCTTCTGCATGTCTCATTACCACAGTACATCTAAAACAACTCAACGCAAAAACAACATGGTTTGGACCGGTTCCCAGGTTCAGGCTTCTCATATGGGCACACGTGGACGTGTGCCAATGTTTTTAGGATTTAGAATTACACAGCCGATACAGAATCTCCATATCTGAGCATAGCTTTCAAGGAAAAGGATGTTGCACAATCCATAATTCCTTGCAGATAAACAGGAAATTTTTCATTTGAGCTGGTTAAACTCTTACCTCTCCATTGAAAAAGCAGAAGATTGTGGCCACCAGCAGTCCCTTAAAAACAAAATCATAAATGCGTTTCAGCATCAGAAATGGCTATCTTGCATTGCTAAACTACAATCTCCCACTTCTTCGCTAATAAGTTGCTGGTGTCGAATACATTTCCCCTTGTGTTTTTGACACATTCTGGCTGGGAGAGCTCTTGATGTGCACAGGGAGTCATCTGGGACAGCAAGCCGGTTTTATTGCATTATTCATTGTGCCGATTCAGCAAGGTCTAGCAGTACCAGCTGTCCGTGGCTTTTCCCTTTCCTTAACAACACTGCAAATTATTAGTTTCTAGCTGCTGAACACCTACCAATCTCTAAATAAATGTTTAGGAGTCAGACTTTATAGAGGTGTATATATATATATATATGTAAGTGTCATATATATATATAAGTGTCATAATGTCCTTATCCAGTTTACAAGTATTTTTTTCAAAAGGCTTTAAAATAAAAGTTTATTAAAGCATTAATCAAATCATACAGCTAATAAGAAAACAAAACATTTCAGTTTCAAAAAGGGTTTATCAGTTACTTTAAAAATACACTTTCACCTGTCGATATTTTCTCAGTCCTGTGTTATTTTGTTTTATGTTTTGTGTAATTAATGACTTTGCGATGTACTTTTACAGACTTTTATTCATGATGTGGTTTAATGGAAGAGTCCTGTGTAGAAAACTATCTTTGATCTTAGAAACAAGAAAAGCAGACAAGGTTGAGCAATTCAAAGCCGAATTTCTCCCCTCTGGCTATTAATGTTTCTCCAGAGCTTTGGGACTCACTGTTGTCATTTGCTTAGGTTTTTTTTAAGCAGCTAATGGCACAGTAAACTTAATTACTGCCTGCCGAGCTACTGCCGGTCATCAAGACAAAGACTTGTAAACTGAATTTCCTAACAATGATAATACGCCAATAGTCAAAACTGAACATGCCTCAAAGAAGTGAGATGTGAACTCTGCCAACGTTATCTCATGGCAATTCATGACTTTTTTATTCAGGAGCTAACTCGTATGAATTTGTACTCATTTGTACAATGTAGTGTGATTTGCTTATCCCACTTACGGATGGGTTTAGGCGTGGGGTTTAGTGCCATGCCTCCTTTTAAAAATGTTACTATTTCGGATATATGGCCGAACTCATATGAGTTCTTACACATTAACCACTAAACTGACAAAATGAGATCAGGCTGACTCTGCTTATAAAAGTGTGCTTTGCTGATACAACTGTCATAAGACAAACATCAATTTTGTTCTACTGACTTTGGTTTCAGTGAAAAATTTAGCTCATCTAAGATATTTATCTGGAATAAACACATGGTAAGGTCCAGGGGCGTCATGTATCAACTCTAAGTATGCACAAAAACTTTGTGTACGCAAGGTTTCACGCTCACGTTTGGATGCACTAACAATGAAATTAATGTGAGAATGTGCGTTGGTCAGTGCCAACTTCATGTCTGGCGTACGTGCATTTCTTGTGTGTGTTTGTTTTATTTCCATTGGCCACTCCTAGATTGCACACTACAAGTATGGCACCAACACATGTGAAAAACATTACTAATAATTTATAATGGATAAAATAGGTTAATTGACACAATTTATTTTTTTTTTTTTACCAATTATGTGATTTAGAATCCATCTATCCATCCATCCATCCATCCATCCATCCATCTATTAATTTTTTAAACACCATTTTAAGGACAAAATTATTAGCTCCTTTAAGCTATTTTTTTTTTCGATAGTGTACAGAACAAACCATCATTATGCAATAACTTGCCTAATTGCCCTAACCTGCCTAGCTAATCTAATTAACAGTTAAGCCTAGTTAAGCCTTTAAATGTCACTTTAATCTGTAGAAGTGTCTTGAAAAATATCTAGTAAAATATGATGTACTGTCATCATGGCAAAGGTAAAATAAATCACTTATTAGAGACGAGTTATTAAAACTATTATGTTTAGAAATGTGTTGAAAAAATCTTCTCTGTGTTAAACAGAAATTGGGGAAAAATAAACGGGGGTCTAATAATTCAGGGGGCTAATAATTCTGACTTATAGATGGATGGATGGATGGATGGATGGATGGATGGATGGATGGAGGGCGGGATGGATGGATGGATGGATGGAAGATAGATAGATAGATAGATAGATAGATAGATAGATAGATAGATTGATTGATTGATTGATTGATTGATTGATTGATTGATTGATTGATTGATTGATTTTACACCAACACTTTAGAAATTTAATTTGTTGTTAACATTGCAACTACCAAAATTCTTTAACCACTGGCCATAGTGGTCATTGTGAATCTGACTGTTTAAATTAAGTCGTACCAAATAACATTTCTGTCATGTCATATTTACATTTAAAGATTGTCTTTTTATATTTATATACTAAGTCTAATATAGTTTTCTCTAACATAACCAATTTTTTTTTTTATAATATGTCCTATAATTTTGCATGCAAAAATTATCATTTTGAGTTTCCAGACCACATCTGAAAGTGCATATTTTTAAGTGGGGGAGTGTAGTTTTTGTACGTTTGACTGATATGTCTGAAGTTATGTTTTTTCTATCAGAAAGTCATATTTATGTTAGCAGAATAATGCTATGCTACAAAGGCATGTATATTAAAAGAGTAGCACATGCAGTCAATTTGACCGTTTTGGCCATTTGAGATAGAAATACTCTGAATTTGGTTGTGTTTTAACAACGTTAGAATAAAATATGCACATATTTAGGAAGAGTCTTGATTCTATATTTATATGGGTTTAATTTTACCATAGTTATTAAATTACAAAATAAAAAAACAAGATCAAAAAGGCTGCCTCTGTAGTTCTATTGTTAAAATTTATGCTTATTTGACAGCTTTTTACCTGATAATGCATAAGGATATGCATGATGTAGTCGTATATTTCAGCAGAGACGCGTCCAGAAGGTTTGTAAGGAAGCAGGACATACTGAATGCCCAGGAGGGGAACCAGAATGAGGGTCGCACGAACAGCTTTCATATACAGACTAGACTCTGCTTGGTGTGTTACTTTCAGTTTGGTGATGAGGACTCGTACGATGTTCAGCAGAAAGAACAAGTTCACCTGGAAGGACAGGCAAGATGAGTGATAGACCCAAACACAAAACCCAGCTGGCTGGCAGATGTCAGAAGAGAGTCTCTGTCAGATGAAGGTAACTGTTCTTTTGATGTGCTGATGCATATAAACATTGTGCTAGGCTACTCAACAATCAATTCAGACTTCTGGATGTAATTTACGCAAACAATACACAAAGATTGTAATTAATGGTGCACAGAAAGAATGCGTTTTAAAAATGAAAATGAACTGGAGAAAACCTTCCAGATGTCTTACCAGCATTGCTGCACAGATAGGACCATGAATAATGTATAGCAGAGACGTATTTGAGCTGATCCAACAACTGTGGATGAGGAAGGCGAGGATTAGCCAAATGTTACAGATGGATTTCTCAAACAGCAGTATAATAGTTTTATGTACAGTATTTACTTTAATTTGTCGATTTAAGAAAGCAGCTCAAGAAAAAAAAGATTTGGCTTTTTGAGTATAGCTTAAAAATTGCAAATAAACTAGATTGAAAAAAAAAACCAAATATATATATATCTCTTTCTAAGATAGCCTACAGAAGTGTCGGGTTGTAATAATTCACCAGCTGACTGATTACATTTTGAATGGGAAACCTTTTTTTGTATTACATGGTTTTTCTTGGAATATGCAAATTAGTATGCAAATGATATTAAATAAGAACTGATTTGCATTCAAATCCAGAATAGAAATTGGATAGTGCTAGCTTCAGTAAGTAAGTGGTTTTGAGCTGCATGGTGATATGGCTGTGAATTGGATTTAGGATAAAGTATTGTCGACAGCCAGACTTTTTTAATCAAGCTTTTATGAATAAAATGCTGTATTAAGTCAATATCCAATGTGAAAACCCGTCTGAAAAAGCCTTCAAAATATGGATGTTATCAAAAGCAGACAAAGTTTTAAAATTGATCAGCAATGAAAAATAAGTTGTATCTTGAAGTGGGTTTCCATTAAGCGACAGTAGAAGTATACTCACTTATCATTGTAGTAATAACTTCTGGCCACAGCATGTATTGTTGCAGGAATAAGTGGAAAACCTGTTGTTATAAAAAGATTTTGAACTCATGATTAGTTTATGCCTCTAATGATGTGAATACGATATAAATTAAACTCTGATTTATTAAAACTCACCCCATCCAAGAAGGTAATACCACATTAAATGTTGCTTTTCAGCAAACACTGCCACAACAATGAGCGTGTGCAAGTAAATCCCTTCACAAAGCATCCAGAAGTAGTTGCAACCAAAGATGTACAGGTGGATGAACTGAGATATTTTGCAGCTGATCTGAAGAGAAGCAGAATAGTTTTAAGCATTGTTAACGCTAACTCACTGTTTTGCTCTATAACCCATTACATTGCATTGTATGAAGAAAGTTAGTATAAAATTAATGCACAAAGTTTACTGGGAATAAATAAAAACATACAGGTTTGTGTGGAAACAAATGCAAGATTATACGAAAATAACTCAAAACCTATATTGTGAGATGAAAATTTTATATAACATTAAAAAAAATCATCATCATCATTATTATTAATTTCATTCTGTAGAAACTTTTATAAAAGCTTCCATACATGCTTCCACAGGTCTGTAATAGCATGATGGTAGGTAAAGATTGCAATATATGTATACATATTCTGTTGTTAGATGTTGTTAAATTACTGTTAATTCGCTTACTGGGTTTTGCTGAACCAGTTCTTGATTGTTGGCCACTGCTGTTAACCAAATGATAGTGATAATGGAGTTTAATACAAAGGAAAAGAATAGGTTTTTGTGCAGGGTAATTCTCTGGCAGCTCAAGCTCCTACAGGCACAAAAGAGCAAAAATAACACTTAAAAAGTACGATAACACATTAAAACATGGAGAAGATTGGAATAAATTAATTTGATCTTACTTGAAATGGAAGAATATGCCGAGTGAGATGAACAGTGACGTTAAAGAGAGCCCGTGACCTATTAACGCCAAGTAGAACAAATTCATTGCGGTCTGCAATCAAACAAACAATAGAGGCATGGAGTGTTTATTCTGCAAGCCCATTCAGATGAGTGTTTATATTCATCTCAAGTGTTTGTAGTGTTCGCTCTCATACCCTTCTTCCTTCAGTAGTGTGCAGATTACATCTGGTGAAGTTTGTCCATGTGCGGTTACTTTCAGGATGCAAGAACCACTGCCCACTTTCTGTACATATTTTGGTGACCATTTCTGCAAAGAAACAGAAGTAAAACAAGCTGTTACTTGATAAGACTTTTCGCTATTGGCTTCTCTCTGGATATGCCATAATCTTTTTAACTTATATATTTGATCCATTTGATCATTCATCCATCCATCCATCCATCCAAATATATATTATCCATCCATCCATCCATCCATTTGTTTAAACAAATCATCCACCTATCCCTCTAAATGTATATTATACATCCATCCATCCATATAACATTCATCCTTCCATCCATATTAATTTATAGATGAATATATCATCCATCCATCCATTCAACTGTATATCCATCCGTCCATTTTTTCATCCATCCAAATGTATATCATTAATCCATTCTTCCATCCCTATAACATTCATCCATCCATCCATCCATCCATCCATCCATCCATCCATCCATCCATCTATCCATCCAACTGTCATCCATCCATTTATTTAAACCTATATAATATTTAAACATTTATCCATCTAAATGTATATCATCCATCCATCTATACATCATCCATCCATCCATCCATCCCTCTATATAACATTCATCCTTCCATGCATACATATTTATCCATTGATATATAATCCATCCATCCGTCCATCCATCTATTTAAATGTACTGAAAATCATCCATCCATATATCCATCCATCCATCCATCCTCCATCCATCCATCCGTCTATCCAAATGCATATAATAAATCCATCTATCCATCAATTTGTCTATCCATCCATCCATATTCATTTTTCCATCCATACATATTCATTTATCCATGGATATGTCTGTCCATCTATTTAAACAAATCATCCATCCATCCATATAACATTCACCCTTCCATGCATAAATATTCATTTATCCAAGGATACATCATCCATCTATCCATGCATCCATCCATCCAACGGTTTTGTGTATCATCCATCCAGATATCCATCCATCCAAATGTATATAATTAATCTAACTATCCATCCATCCGCCCATCCATCCATCCATCCATCCATCCATATAACATTCATTCTTCCAACCATACTTATCCATTGAAAATGTCCGTCCATCCATTAATTTAAACAAATCATCTATTTATCCATCTAAATGTATATCATCCATCTGTCCATCTGTCCGTCCATCTATCCATCCATCCATCCATCCATCCATCCAGCCAACCATCCTTCCATCTATATAACATTCATGCTTCCATGCATACATATTCATTTATATATCCATGGATATATATCATCCATCTGTCCATCCATCCATCAAACATATATCATCTGTCCATACATTCAAACACATCAACCAACCACCCATGCATCCAAACATATACTGTATCATCCATCCATCCAAACATATATCATCTATATATCCATCCATCCATCCAAACATATATCATCCATCCATCCAAATCTATACCATCCATCTTGCCATGCAGATCCATTATCTATTTTTGTGTTAGGCTTTATATTAATATTAACATAAAATATTTAAACAACACTTTATAAATAATATAAATAAATAATTAAACAACACTCACTAACTAAAAATTAGAGCATTATGTGCACTAATAATATATTATCACCATTTTTCTAAGCACTTTTTAAATTTTACTTTATAAATTATTCAAATCATAACTCTACTGCTAAATCAGCGGTACCTGAAAAATGTCTTTAATATTGAATATAAAATCTTCCACTTATCTCTCTTCAGAGCAGAAAGTGTGTTATAAAAATTTTAATAGCCTTTTTTGCCTCTGATTTCTGCATGATTTGACAGTGGAGGGTAATAGAGTGGAAAAAAATGAGAACACGTACGATGGAATAAGTGTATTAAGCTGTGCAGAAAGCCCGCAGACTGAACCTTGTACAGGTGAAAGCAACCTAATATTAACCTGTAGGGTCAAAATCCTGGAAATAGTCAGGACAGTGTTGCTCAGAGGTGATGCCTGCCTCAGTGTCATCCCAACACAACCATCCATCCCACGTCCTGTTACACACCGGGCCTGTAAACATGGAAATAACCCAAAACATGTATTGGTTTCGATGGAAACTGAGAAACATCCTCTTATTTTCATCATCACTATTCTTAGTTCAAACTGTTTCAAAAGCCCAATCCCACATGTGCTATTTATGTGCTGCAGACTACGGAGAAAGTTCTAAATCAGTCATTGGGCTTCATTTAGGATGCCAAGTAGGAAGCACACTAGGTTTTGGAACTGAGGTGATTTCTCACCGCTGTCCTGCAGAATACACTCTTCCTAACAATATGAGTCACCTGAGGCTTTATGTGTTCTTGCTGTGCTAATTAGACAGAATGACAAAAACTAATATGTCTCCGTTTGCAGTGGTATACACTTTTTTTTGTCAGGCTTATTAAAAAAATACATTGAATTATAAATGTTATACAGGGCGATGCATTGGCGCAGTGCTGTCGCCTCACAGCAAGAAGGTTGCCGGGTCGCTGGTTCGAGCCTCGGCTCAGTTGGCGTTTCTGTGTGGAGTTTGCCTGTTCTCCCTGCGTTCGTGTGGGTTTCCTCCGTGTGCTCCGGTTTCCCCCACAGTCCAAAGACATGCGGTACAAGTGAATTGGGTAGGCTAAATTGTCCGTAGTGTACGAGTGTGTGTGGGTGTTTCCCAGAGATGGGTTGTGGCTGGAAGGGCATCCGCTGCGTATAAACGTGCTGGATAAGTTGGCAGTTCATTCCGCTGTGGCGACCCCGGATTAATAATAAAGGGACTAAGTCAACAAGAAAATGAATGAATGAATGAATGAATGACAAAATGTTTCTGGCCACTTTAATAGGTACACCTTACTAGTACTGGATTGGACCCCCTTTTGCCTTCAGAACTGCTTTAATCCTTCGTGGCATAGATTCTACAAGGTACTGTAAATATTCCTGAGAAGTTTTGGTCCAAATTGACATGACTGCATCACGCAGTTACTGCAGATTTGTCTGCACATACACAGTTCGGCTGCACATCCATGATGCGATTCTCAGCTGCATGCGATCCCAGTAGTTCAGCAGTTTCTGAAAAACTCAGACTAGCCCGACTGACACCTACAACCATGCCACGTTTAATGTCACTTAAATCACCTTTCTTCCCCATTCTGATGCTCAATTTGAGCTGCAGCAGATCATCTTGACCATGTCTACATGCCTAAATGCTTTGAGTTGCTGTAGTGTGATTGACAGATCGGAAATTTGCGTTAACGAGCACCTAATACCTAATTGTACCTAATAAAGTGGCAAGTGAGAGTATATTATCCTGGATTGAAGTGTCTTTGTAATTTCTCCCTAAATCTAATTGCAGAATGAATGTTTGTAAAGTGAAGCATTTTAACATTAAGAATATATGCAGGATATGGGATTATGTCTTGATATCTATCTTGTACTAATGTGTTGTGTCTACCTCTTCTGTCTTGACTGTTGTCCTTCATGATCTTCTGATAGCACTCAAATTGAGCTGTCACAATCTTGTTTCTGGTGACACCGATGTCATGGTACACATTCTGAGGATGTTGTTGCTGGCTTTCGTTCACCTCAGGACTGGCTAGAACAATGAACTGCAAACAAGAGAGATGAGTAAAGGCATAGTTCACCAAAAATATAAAAATTCTGTCATCATTTGTACCTGTTTGAGTTTTTTTATTGTGTTGAACACAAACAAGATATGTTAAAGAATCTAATTTGCACGGCTGTTTGGAATACTCGATTCTGATTGGTCAGTCGTGACATTCCAAGGTATGTTATCCTGAGAAAACAACTGCTAAAATAACTCAGGCTTATCTGGGAACTTCAAATCTTCTTGATTGTCAGTGAATACGTTCAAATTTATATACTTACATCTAAATTTATAAGAGTCTGCTTATCTTTTCGATTCTACTTTTGTTTTTTGTTTCTTTGAGCGTCGTGATTTTGACAGTTTGGTGCCATCTTGTAAATATATAACACACAGGTCAGTGTATGCTTAACTCAGCAATTTTGTTTCTGTTAGCTTTGCGGTTTTGACTGTTTGGTGCCATCTTGTGAATATATAACACACAGGTAAGTGTATGGTTTATTCAGCAAGTTGCGTTTTTTTGAGCATTGTGATTTTGACTGTTTGGTGCCATCTTGTGACTGAATAATGCACAAGTTAGTGTATACTCCATCAGCTGTTTTATTTTCTGTCAGCTTTGGGTTTAATTAAAGAATTAATAAAATTTACAGCTCAGAACAATGATTTGTATATACTTTTTATGATTTGTGTGCAAGTAGCCATGTAATATAAGGGGTAATGTACATCCAGGATGGTTGTTTTTACAGTATAAAGCCAGGCTTTATTGTGAGATAACAACCTTCTGAATGGACTTTATCCCTAACTCAAAAGTCCATTGACTACCATAGGATGTATTTTGTTCCTATTATCTACTACTAATGTCAATAGCTGCTCATTTCCAACGTTCTTCAGAAGATCTTTTTTGCATTCTACAGAAGACATTCATAAAAGTTTAGAACAACTTGACTGTGAGGATTTTTTTTTTTTGATCTATTGCTTTAAAAGAAAGTGAAGTAGTTTCACAGGCAAACTTTAATCAAATTTTATTTTATTAGATGTACTATAGGAGACAATATATAATGTCCAATTATATATATTAGGGATGTCCAGATACGATCATCATTAATCGACCCCGATCACACAGTTTCAGAGTTGATTGGAATCGGACGTTAGCTACCGATCAGGACTGTATTTGTATATATGTATGTATATATATATTCTCATTATTTTTTTAACACTTCTGTAGTTATGCAGTGGCCCAGAGTTGGACTTTTTACTTGACTTCACACAGAAACTGCAACACGTGCGGCATGACATTACTTTGTTGCAAAGACCCTATTGGTTAAATGCTGGCAAAGTACAACACGGAAGCAGCTTGAAGCTGAAAGCACGAGTATGTCTGCGGTCTGGAGAAGTTATAAAGCTAATGACGACAACATTGCAACATTGTGAGATGTAAACTTGGCATGGCCAGAGGTGGAAAGCAAAAGGCTATATTTAACACAACAAACCCGATAAGAAACTTCAAAAGCAAAAACAGAACCTTGATTTTGAAATGCCGTATTTCCACTATTTCACGGAGAAAGCTCTGCCAGCCTTATTGTAAGAGGATTTTTGACAAATTACTTGTCCTGTTATAAAATGTACCCTATCTTTCGTTCACCACAGACATATGGAGTTCAACCGTCGCTCTCATGTCTCTACTAAGACTTTATGTATTATAGAAATATCGGATCTGGTTTCGGTATCGGTAGATACTTGAAATCAAATGACTTAGACTCAGACTAAAGGGCAAAAAAAAATGATCGGGACATCCCTAATATATATCCTAATATATAATGTTTGTGTTATGATTAAGAAGATTTATCCTACAGTATTTATAACAGTATCACAGTAAAACATCTTTAGTCGAAGAATTGCACATATAGTCATTTGAAAGTACAGTTTTTTCTTGAGCAGCTCCTTCAGTTACATATAATGTACCATTATGAGACATTTAAATAAAAACACATTTATGTTTACATCAAAAACATTACCTAATTATGTAATAAAGGGTTGCAAGCCAAATACAGGCCAGAAATTCGGTAGAATTTGACCACTTTAAGGTCCATCGTCCATACAAGTTAATGCTTTTTAAAGAGTTTTAATTAAGTGCCTGAAATGAAATAACAATAAAGTTAAATCTAGAGGTGTTTTTTAAATACTTTTAGATATCATAAAAAAGACAGGCAGATGGCTAAATGACACAACAAAGTTTGTCGATGTAATTAAAATCATCACAAAAAAAAACAGGAAAACCCATTGACATTGTACAGCCTCATAATGTTCATTATTAAAGCATCATTATTGCTCTTACACACTATTCTAACTTTACTTAAAAGTTGCTACGTACTATCTAATCTGATATCTCCTCATCAAATCTAATCTTCTATTGTATTTTACTTAAGCAGCTCTTAAGTTTCAGACAATGTCCCATAATGAGACCATTACCCAATATTGTAATAGACTGCTACAGGGATTCTGTCCACATTTTAATTCATATAAAATACATTAGTAGTTATACCACTTTGCAAGAGTTCTGCAGCTTTTAAAGTGCTAGCAAGTAGCTAAATGGGACTTCAGAAGTTGCTGGTGAGATTGAGATATAGAAACATTGTTTAGCTTTCATTCAAGGTAATTTCTGGGTTGACCTACTGTATGTGAATATGTGTCACACATTATTTTAAACTACCATTAATGCTATTAACAAACTATCAACCCAGAATTTAGCCTAATAAAATAAAAAAAATTGCTGCTTGTTAATAGTAAAGTAGTAGTTGGGTTTTGGTATTGGGTAGGATTAGTGATTTAGAATGCGATCATACTTTATAAGTACTAATAAAAATCCAGTATCTTAATAATAAGGTAATAAGTTGTTAATAGTGTGAATTGGTACTTAAACTAAAATGATACCAAAATATAAGAGTTGCATCTATATTTTGAAGTTAGACGGAAACGCCAGCTTTGCTAACATGCATTAAAATGCTTGATCAATGCACATATAATGTAAAGAACTGAACCATGTAATAATGATTACTGCATCATCAGCAAAAGATCATTAATAACAACAATAATGCATAATGCATTTATTTCCTGTAACATATAAATCTGCATCAATAGTTAATGTATGTTAGTTACCACAATAGTCTACTTCCAGTTGTTTGCTTTAGTTAAAGTGCCCCTATTATGGGTTTTTAAAAATGATCTTCCATGCAGTGTGCAACACAGCTCTAAGGCCCCGTTTACACTGCCAGTTAAATGTGACCCAACTCTGATTTATTTATTTTTTTGCTCATGTGTGAAAGTTCGGATCTGTTCTGTGACTGTGAAAACACGAAAAAAACAAACAAACATGCATTTGGATATTTAGATAAATCAGATATAAATCAGACATGTGACAATGTGACTGTCATGTAAACAGCCAGATCGGATTTATTACAGGCATTCCGTTTTTATTATTAAACTTAAACCACGTAGAAAACGTGACACGTGCTGCTTTCTTCACGGATTTAAATGTGTTTGGGAGCTCGCGATCCTCTGCCGTTTGTCATTGCTTTGGCCACCGTTAGCTGTTCCTACACACGTGTGGCAGTCAAGTTTAAAAAATAGTTTAAACAATATTGTTGTTTTTATTTGTGGTTAAGATTAGCGCAGTATGCTGGTGGTTAACTGCATTGCTTTAATGCACTCCTGCATTGGGCTCACGCATACATACTGCACTCTGGCTACTTCAACAATGTTGATGAGCCATGGTGGGCGTTTCTCTTTCTCTCAACAGACCAATCAGTGCAGATTAGCATCTCTCTAAGGAGGGGTTTGGGAAATGAATCGCTGAACAAATCATATAGGAGTCGTTTGGATAATTAGGTAAAAAAAAAAACATATTATAAGACAAAAAAAATGTGTTTTTTGACCTTGCATGCATATCAGCCTGTTGTTGGAGACCCCCAAAACCAAAATTTGACCTTTTTATGCATAATAGGGGCATTTTAGTGATTAACTAATGATTAGCAAAATTGTGGTTTGACTTCACTTGATGCACAGGACTGTTAACTAAATGTTAAGTAATACGTCATTGGGGTTATGGTTAGTTAGTTAGTGCTGCAATTCATTAGTGAATAATTAAACCAGTCAACTGGCAGTTGAAATGCATGGCTTCGACCGGCTTTGGTAATTAACACATGCGTTTGCTATTATTCTGTTATATATGTTATTAGGGAATTACGATACATTTAACTACTAACAGTTTATACATTACTTGATCAATCCTATAGAACAAGCATTACTTGTTGATGCAGTAATTATTAATATATGATTTAATTATCTCATAATTATCTGTGCATTAGTTAAGTGTTATTTAAAGCATATTTTTGCCGTTGTATTATATAATGTTACCCAGAAATCTCTCTGAAAAATGTGGCAAATAATCTTTCACCTCAGTGACAGATCCCAGTAGAAAAAGACAAATCGTCCAGCAGCTCGCTGTCATCTTCTTTGGCATTTCCAATGACCCACTATCGATCTGCAAGGAAGGTAACATCAATGAAACACTGTGAACATTTCTAAGGGCTCTTATGCTGTTATTGACACAAACAGAAGTGCTTGTCTCCTTCTCCGTTACTGCAACATTCTTGCCATCCATATATATATATATATATTTATATATATATATGTGTGTGTGTGTGTTGTGTGTGTGTGTGTGTGTGTGTGTGTGTGTGTGTGTGTGTGTGTGTGTGTGTGTGTGTGTGTGTGTGTGTGTTTGTGTGTGTGTGTGTGTGTGTGTGTGTGTGTGTGTGTGTGTGTGTGTGTGTGTGTGTACATATATATATATATACACACCAACACATTGTGAACACAGCCAATATGTTAATTTCTCAGCCCTACATGGATGGAAGGGTTATTTTTCACAGTTTGTCAGGTCAAGCACGCACTTTAACCTAGATTATGTTACTTTAAATCCCAAAGGTGAATAATGGTTTAATAAGAACACACTCTCACAATACACTTTTCTATTGCGAAAAAGTGTAGCCAATGGGGAGAAAAGTTCCCTGAAATTACCAAATAATGTCCCTTGACTACTTAAATGGAAGGTATAACATCTCCTCAGGTCTGTTTGGACTTGCGCTTCTCGTATTGGGTCACACTCTTGCAGGAGTATGGGGAAAGCAAATGGGGGTATTGCAGATTAGAAACAGATGCTGAAAACCAGTCGTAATGTTACCCACAATGCAGCATATCATGAAACAACACTGGCAGATCCCGAGGACCATTGCTTGTAGCTGCGTCACTGGCTGTAACTGAAATTATAGTGTTTACCTTTCCATTTGAGGGAATAAACATGCAGGTTAAAGCCTGTGTGAGCTATTCTGAAGGCTGTCCTCTACTGATAGCCACAGCACTTTATCTTCTGTTGATTTCTGCACTTGAACAAACAGCAGTTTTTCCCCTCACCAATGCAGCCTCTGAGTACAAACACATGGGTGGAAACTGGATGCTTGTTATGGTCATTTTAACTGCTTGAGCTTGACACAGATAAATCAGCTAAATGCTCAGGGGATGAGGCGAGATGAAGCAAGTTCAGTTTTTTTTTTTTTTTATAATACTGTTTTGCACCATAGCTCTTTTTAAAATGCTGTGTCAACATAAAAAGCTGAATACAACAATATACATAATGCTTTAGGAATTAAACAATCTGTAATGTTACAGGTTCGCGTCCTGGCTGGACCAGTTGGCATTTCTGTGTAGAGTTTGCTTGTACTCCCCTTGTTTACCTGGGTTTCCTCCGGGTGCTCCGGTTTCCCCCACAGTACAAAGACATGCGCTATAGGTCAGTTGAATAAACTAACTTGGCCATAGTGTATGTGTGTGAATGAGTATTACACCTGGCTCAGGGATGTAACATAATAAGGGAGACAACAAGGAGAAGTATAATCAAAAAGAATATTTATTTAATTCAATTTAAATTATATAATCAAAATATCAGTATGTTCAATCAGTGTGAAATGCAGTGTGAAATGCAAACGTATGGATGCGGTAAATGTTGTCAGTAATAGTGTATGGATGCGAAACAAAGCATAATGGCCAAATAGGAGCGCGGCTTTGGCTAACTGCCAAGTGAATGGACAGCGGCCCCGACAAACTCTCTGCCGGGGTTTAAATAAGGGCGCTGACCAGCATCAGGTGCGCTGAAGACACGCCCCCAATCTAGAATCAAAATCAAACACACAAACAAAACAACGCAGTCCTAACAATGAGTGTGTATGGATGTTTCACAGTACTGGGTTGCAGCTTGATTCGTTACTCTGTGGCGACCCCTGAAAAATAAGGGACTAAGCCGAATAAAGGGAATGAACAATCTTTAATGCTACAAAATGCCACAATAACAATCAAATGGCCTAGTTAAATCTCAATTATATGTATTTGATGCCAATTACTGTGTCAATCATCAGTGAAACCAGATAACTCAGTTAGCCATGCCCATCCCTACAGGAAATGTAACCTGATGATGAATAAACCTAATTCAGAAAATGTTCCTAAATAATTTACAGATAATTAGATTGCAATGGTGGATCATAAAACAACACTTTCTGTCACATGTGAGAGTTCTTGAATGCTAGTAAAGAACTGAAATGCATCAGTACTAAAAGTGTATGCTTTCAAGCTAGTCTATAACTGACAAGGGCTTTTCGGGATGAAATAAAAATTTATTCTGTATGTTTAGTTGGAGTCAGAATTATTAGCCACCGTGTTTATTTTTTCCCCAATTTCTGTTAAACAAAGAGTAGATTTTTTTCAACGCATTTCTAAACATAATAGTTTTAATAACTCATTTATAATAACTGATTTATTTTATCCTTGCCATGATGACAGTAAATAATATTTGACTGGATATTTTTAAAGACACTTCTATACAACTTATTGACATTTAAAGGCTTAATTAGGTTAACTAGGCAGGATAGGGTAAATTGGCAATTTATTGTATAATGATGATTTGTTCTGTAGACCATCAAAAATAAATAAATAAATAAATGGAAAAAAAAAAGTATATTAAATATAATAACCTTCTATCCCTCCACAAAATGACTTTTCTTCATTTCTGGTCTCATGGAATGCCTTTTGGGAGCGGGTTTCAGGACGTGTTTAATTTTTGCTCTGTCGTCATCCATTCATTAATCTTCTTTCATTTTGTTACACTAGCAACCCCCATTTTGTTTCAGGACCATTTCAAGCACATGTACATCACGGTAAAGGAAAAAAGCACAATCTTATCTTCCGTGTCATATCGACTTTGACACTGGGTCATTACCAACAGTGAAATTGAGCATTTGTTACAAAGTACACATTATGTGAACACATGTTTTTACATTGTACTTATGCATGATTAAATACCTGCATGTAATTACATTTGTAATCATTTCTGTAATTACACTATTGACTATCCCTTAAACATTAACCCACCCTTAAACCTACCCATACAACAAAACTTGTTGCTAACCCTACTTTTATCCCATCAAGAGCATCAGAAGTGTTCTGCAGCACATTATGAACACAGTAAGTACAATGTATTTATTTTTTGATACAAGAACATATATAATTAGGGCCACCTAATGTAAAGTGGGACCAAACAATCTTCTCTGTGTTAAACATCACTTGGGAAAGATTTTAAAAATAATAAAAATTCCGGGTCCACTTTGTATTATGTGGTCACAACTACGTACTTACAAAAAAATAAAAATACAATGTACTTGCTGTGTTTATAACGTATATAACTAAGGGCAGCACAATATATTGTTACAGCATCAATATTGGAGTGTGCACATACACAATAGTCACAATGCAGGATATAAAATGTTGACCCTGAATCATAGTTGATCAGGAGGTGATTTGTATTGTCACTGCTAAGTTTAACCATAATAGTGAGTTTTTGTCTTGTTTAGTCTAAACATCTACTAAAGCAAAAATACGATTATTTTACTTATCCCTTTGGCAGATAATTGTGCTTGTTTTAAGGAAAAAGTTTGACATTTCTTATAAAGGTGAAAACAAAACAATATTTTTACTTCATACTATAATTTTTAGATATTTGGACTAAAAACAAGACAAAGCAAAGATTAAATTGCATTTTTATTGCATTTTGATTGTTTAATTTTGGTTCCTTATTACTGTTAGTCTTTAAATAGTGCTATTGAAACATCTAGTGAAACTATTTTTACTGTATCACAATATTTATCACAGAAAAATAAAACATCACAATATCAGATTTTTTCAATATCGTGCAGCCCTATATTTAACACTTCTGGGGTAGGGAGAGGTTTGGTGGTATGGGTAGGTATAAATCCTGGTTTATACTCAATGTGTCCACTAGTTCACTTGAGTGCATGCGGCGAATGTGATGTCATCCCGGTGGTTCGTTTGGGTGCGCTGGACATGATTTGAAGACCAGGGCGAACAAGGCGTGCGGCGCCGCAACTGAGTTGAATATGAAACACTTTGAAGACATTTTGTCTGAAACAGTACGCCTGTACAGACATCTTTATGATCCGTGATCATAGAGATAACCAGATGGTCAATAATTCTTGGCTAGAAATTGCAACTGCCTTGGGAAAGGAGGAAAGTTTTTGTTAAAAGGTTCGGAAAAAAAGGAATAAGTTTGTTCAAGCCAAAAAAGGCCATGGCAAAAGTAAAGACACGCAATTACAGAATGTTTTTCCACTATTCATAGGTTTTACACTGATGTTTATATTACAATTTTGAATTTAAAACAGTTCAATAGTTACAAAACTATGATTAAGGAACAAATTATTTCGCTGATAACTGGAAAGGAATATTTCAACCTTTTGCTTTACATTATACTGATGCCCTGTTTCTCTAGGCTTTGTTGGTGACAATGGTCAGGAATGTTGGACCATTATTGCCCTTTTAGTATAAGTAGAGGACAGAAACTAACCAGACAGTAATGTGTGAATTGTGGAGTGGGCTAAATCTGAAAAACAAAAACATCTGTATTTTTTAGTAAGTGTACTTTTTTTGCTTTTATTCTTGCCATAATAAAATATATATTTGTAAAGCAACCCATGTTCTGTTGTCAAAAATATTTTAATAAACTTTAATAAATAGAACTGTCCGAGATATGAACAAAAGCAAGTAATGCATCAAATTTTGATAAAAAAATCTTGAGTGATTATAAAAATCCTTATAATCATAAAAATAAATTATAAAAACAATAAAAATAATTAGTTTAAAAATCTTGAACGATATCAGTTCCTACTTCTGTTTATCCGTCTGACTTTACAGTCAGTTTCTTTCTACTACCCCCTGTCGCTTTAAAGAATATCACAACGGACGCAGCAAGTATAAAAGCTTAATTTGTTTCGTGAGGTGCACCCCCTGTTGGCAGAGGTATGCGATGCGGCACCAGGTGAATGTATAAGTTCAGCTTTAGGGTGGGTTAAGGTGTAAGGGATGGTCAAGTGTAATCCTAAATGTACTCACAGAAATAATTACAGATGGTAACTACATGCA